GAGGCCTTTCTACTTCACAACTCCATAAATTTTCAGCATTTTTGAGCTAATGGGAGAAAAAGAGAGAAAACCTGTGAGATATTCCTAAGAGCAACCGAAACTCTTAATTCTTACTGATTAGACACCAACATACACAAGAAAATTGGAAAGTCCCAATACAAATCTTTACAAGCAGTAAAATCATTCGAGTGCAAAATTGAATCTTTCATCAGAAAACAAAATCACCCAAGAAGATTAAAATGAAAAAACAAAAGTCGAGAGCTTCGAGCTAAAGGGTAACATTATACGAAGTTAGAGCTGAGAAAAAAGGGGGAGACACTAACGTTGTCATAGACAGGGGCAAATCGGTGAAAGAGGGCCTGTCTCTGACGGCAGACCGGGCCGGTCTGAGAATGGACCGGGATTTCGGGGGTCGCCCGCCGGCCGGTTATGGAGGGAAGAGTGAAGTGAAGTGTAGCCGGCGGCGTTGTCGTAGACGGACAGTTCTGTTCACAACAGCCATATATATATATTTTTATTTATTTTACTTTTTGTATTTTCCTTCATTGCTAATTATTTTGTAAGAAACTGGGGGGAAAACGGTGCGGGCCCACTAACATGAAGCGCACCAAAGTGGGGAAAACCTAAATGAAGCCCAATGGGGTTCCATCCCAAAACCAATTGGTGGAAGGAGGAGTAGCCCATTAGACTTATAAGGTGGGTCTATTTTCCATGTATGAACGATGTGGGACAACTCACAAGTGATATTCTAACACGCCCCCTCACTTGTGAGTCCTTCGAAAGCACAAGCCCAACTGGGCGCCCCAAGCCTACTAGAAGTAGACTTTCTAGTAGACTCCCATAAACGGGTACGTGGGGAAGCAGACACCCATAAACGGGTACGTCATCAGACTCTCATAAACGGGTACGTCATCGCACGGTCCCAATAGAACCGAGCTCTGATACCATGTAAGAAACTGGGGGGAAAACGGTGCGGGCGAAGCAGACTCCCATAAACGGGTACGTCATCAGACACTCATAAACGGGTACGTCATCGCACGGTCCCAATAGAACCGAGCTCTGATACCATGTAAGAAACTGGGGGAAAAACGGTGCGGGCCCACTAACATGAAGCGCACCAAAGTGGGGAAAACCCAAATGAAGCCCAATGGGTTCCATCCCAAAAACCAATTGGTGGAAGGAAGAGTAGCCCATTAGACTTATAAGGTGGGTCTATTTTCCATACATGAACGATGTGGGACAACTCACAAGTGATATTTTAACATATTTAATTCTCAGCTGCATAATTGAGTTACTACTACTGATTTAATTCTCAGAAGCTGAATAGCATAGTATTGTTCATAAATAATAAAAAAGAAAAATATATCAAAAATTCTTGTGTAGGCCGCCTAAATAAAAATAAAATAACATATGTTAAAGATAATAAATTTCAGTGTAAATAAAAATATTATATTTCATATTATAAAATATACATTTTTATTAAGAAAAATGCGTTGAGTCCATATCCTTAGGTAACTTGTTCACAAACAAAAAAGTGGTACATACAAGTGCATGGAGCTGATAAATAAAACGAGTTGTTCGTGAGTTTGGCTCAATTCAGCTTGTTAAAGCTCGAGTTTGACTCGGCTCGTCAATATTGACAAACGAGTCCAGTTTTAGCTCGATTTTATTTTTCAACAAAGCAACACCCCAGAAGGGTGAGGTATTAAGGCTGAACTCCCAACATGTATATAAGAAAGTCCAAACTGGGCTAGAAAGTCACAAACTACAAGTCCAGTGTCTAATATACATTAAGCCAAACGAAAACATAAACATAAACAGGAAAAGGCTGACAATAGCAACAAGTAACACAAAAATGTCAGATCTTGGTCTGAAAAGAGTCCAGGCGAGAAGTCAGTATAAAGAATGCGCCTCTGGGGGTGGAGGACTAGCTTGATGCCGATGAGGAAGTCAGCAAGTCGGTTTCCCTCGCGGAAGATGTGCGTGATACGAAAGCGAATCCGAAGAGTGACTCTAATATGCATGAGAGAATGTTGCATCTGCTACGTGCCCTGATGGCCAGAGGTCAATAGAGTGATGACAGCGGCAACGTCCAACTCAATTCAAAATCAGAGGAGATCGATGCAGCAATCTGAAGCGCCTGAACCTCCGCGTCATAGCTCGAGGAGGCCCGAAAAAGGCATGGAAAGCGGTAATAAGAGCACACTCTGGTCCCTAATCAGGTCCCCATCTCCGGCCGCTTTGGTAAATCGGTTAAAGGATCCATCAGTGTTTAGCTTATTCTTTTTAGGCTCGGGTCTCAGCCAAACAACAGCTCTTGCCCGTGAGTTTTGGACATGATGCAGAGGAGGTGGTACAAAGCGATGATGTGGCATGCAGCCTGTCTAGTATCTAGGCGTGAGTCTGCCCAGAGCGGTGAAGAATAATAGATGTCTGTCGACCTGCAAAATAATATGAATTCAAAAAAATTTTTACCAAAAATAAGTAACTAATAATTAAATATGTCTAAAAGTCCAATTAATTTTACAAAATAATATCTAACTAATGGTTAGATATTTGTTTAGACACTGTCCCAAACACTCAGTCCCAAACACTCAAAGCATTGCAGATGTTATGTTTTTTATGTGAATTGTTGTTTTTGCAGTGATCATCACATCACATATTCAATGATACAGTAATGCTCACCACCTACGGTGGACACATGTTAATATGTCAACCGCTTATGTGGTATGCACACATTATTGATTTATTTTTTTGAACATATTAGCATCATCAACGTGTGCATGTCACATAAACGGTGGACATATTAACATGTGGCCACCGTGAGTAAAGGAACATTATCCTTCAATGATAATAAATTAATAACTTCCCATAATTCCAAATTGACTTGAGACTGTCATCTAAGAAGAAAAATAGTAACAGATAACTTTCATAGAATCATGGTGGTTGAATTATCATTATGACATACGTACAAAGTCGCTTAAATTGCATAAAATTATGTAATCTGACTTAGTCAACACTGCCTTTAATCATCGAATTACACTTGGGACAGTCTCATTCAAAGATATAAATAAGAATTTGCTCAAGTTAAAAGAAGCTTCCTACTAAATATCAAGTCTCCTTTATCTAAAGACTTAGGAAAATTTGAGTCTAAAAACTAGAAATTTTGGGTCGAGAATTTGGAAAATTTGGGTCAATCTTTCACACATTATTATTCATTCCTTCCTTTATAGCTTCTGATGAGATGACCCGACCCGAGGCTCAGTAATTCGATCATCGGGAAAAGTTTGAGTTCGGTCGTTATATTATACAATCGAAAGGGTAAGAATTTGAAGTTATTTTTATCCCTTTTTTTTATGTTGTGTGTATTATGTCTTGAAGAAAGGAATGAAGGATTAAGAAAATTGTTAATTGCCAAAATATTCATCAAATTCTTTTCTCAATGGAGATTTTATGGTCCCGTTACGGAAATATTTCGTCGGGGCTTGTAACCGTTAAATCAGTGATCAATTATCCATAACGGTTACATGATGATCTAACGGTTATAAATCTCAGGTTATAAATCCCAACAGAATGATTCCGTACGAGCGCTATATCATTTTCCTCTAATTATATATGTAATTCGAGACACCCAGCTTAAATTGGCGTTGACTTTGCTCACGTGAACTAAACATTCGGGTAAAAAAATACATGCACAAAAATATATTTTTTCCTACACATTAAAGTCCAGGAAAAGTTTTTTTTTTTTCTTTCTTTTCGTCTCTCATCTTTCCACACGTTGACTATAACAACCATTTTTCTTCCTCCTTTATGTCTGGTTTAAGTTTTCACTTTCCTTTCTCACCAGAGGAAAACTCAAACAATCTTCCCAAGTGATAAAAACCTTCCATAAACACTAACAAAAGCTAAAGATGATCGAAAGACCAAATCACGGGTCGGGCCTGTTCGCTCTAATCGCCATCCTATCCGTTTTTATACTTCCCGGTAGCCCACGGGCCGATCCAAGAACCAATACCGTCCTCTTCGAGTGCGGGAGCCAGGTGGCGGCCAACACCACCGCCTTAGTCCCCAACTTCGGGGCCACCATGGAGATCATCGCGGCCCAAGTCCGAACATCGGGCTTCGGCACAGCCATCGTGGGCTCCAGGCCCAATAGCATCCACGGGCTGGTCCAATGCTACGGAGACCTCTCATTAGTGGATTGTGTCCTCTGCTTTGTCGCGGCCCGAACCCTCCTCCCCAAATGCTACCCGGTCACCGGTGGCCGAGTTTACCTAGACGGTTGCTTCATGAGATCCGAAAACTACACTTTTTTTGATGAGTGGGTCGGGCCCAATGACCGGGCCATTTGTGGGAACGTGACCCAATTGGGCCCGGGTTTTCGTGATTCGGCCCGACGGGCCGTGGCGCATGCGGTTTCATCTGCGCCGGGTAATAACGGGTTTGCGCGGGCCCAGGTAGGGGTGCCTAGGACTAGGAACGGGTCGGTTTATGTTATGGCGAACTGTTGGAGGACAGTTGGCGAACGGGCCTGCCGGGCCTGTTTGGCGAAAGCGAGTGGGCTTGTTTTAAGGTGTTTGCCTTCGACCGAGGGCCGGGCCCTTAACACGGGCTGTTTCGTGAGGTATTCGGATATGGATTTTCTTAATCCGATGCCTGCACGTGGAAGCTCGAAAGGTAGAGAGTCCATTCGACTTCATTTTCTTGATTTTGTTTTCGTCAATTTTTTTTATTTTTTTTATTTTTTTTTGAATTATGTTTTTTTTTTCTTCTTGGATGTGTGTAGGAAGGATTATTGCCATTGTAATGGCATCTATTGGTGCAGCAGCTTTTCTGCTCATTGCAGCTTATATTGGAATTTACATTAGAAGGAACAAAGTGATTCAGAAGAAGAGAAAAGGTACAAGAAGTTAATTTTAAGTGTAATTACTTTGCCTTGGTAAATTCTTATGTTTGCAACTTACAAGTAGGCATGTAAAAGAGCCGAGCCGAGCCGAGCCGTGCTCGACTAGTTAAATAAACGAGCCAAAAATCAAGCTGATCTCGAGCTTTAACGAGCCAAATTATAGAAAATTATTAGTCAAACGAGCTTTAAATGAACTAGAGCTTGGCCCCTTAAGGCTCTCGAGCTCGAGACAGACTCGTTTAATTTAACATCACTACTTACAAGTATATATTGATGAGGTTAAACATAAAATAAGAACCAATCTGACAACTCTATATTTACCTAGTGTTGTGATTTCTTGTGTTTGGTACTATTTTTAGCAACACTACTATATTTTCAGTCAAATTGCCTTCTGAAGAAGATTTCAATTCCTTTTGTTCTTCCAACTGTTTTTTCAGGTGATGCACATAAACTAGTGAAAACTCTTCATGATAGTAGCTTAAACTTCAAATATTCCACCCTCGAAAAAGCCACCGGCTCGTTCGACCCAGCAAACAAGCTCGGCCAGGGTGGATTCGGGACAGTCTATAAGGTCACTAACCGATAAATATATATATATATATATATATATATACACATATATATACATATATATCATTTCATAATTTCGTGCACGTCGAATTTTCTTTAAAAAAAAAAAATCAATTTCTTGTATAGGGGATTTTACCGGACGGGAGAGAAATCGCTGTCAAGAGGCTTTTCTTCAACAACAAGCACCGAGCGGCCGATTTCTACAATGAAGTCAACATTGTAAATAGCATACAGCATAAAAACCTCGTTCGCCTGTTAGGCTGCAGCTGCTCGGGACCTGAAAGCCTTCTCGTTTACGAATTACTACCGAACCAAAGCCTCGACCGCTTTATTTTCGGTCAGTATTACATTCACTTTTTGTCTTAAATCAAAACACATGATTGATGATTAGAGTTCAATGGTTGACACAGATCAAATCAAAGGCATGGCATTAAACTGGGAAAAAAGGTTCAAGATAATCATAGGAACAGCCGAGGGATTAGTGTACCTTCATGAAAACACAAAGATGAGAATTATACACAGAGACATAAAAGCAAGCAATATCCTCTTAGACTCGAAATTCAGGCCGAAAATCGCAGATTTCGGATTGGCCAGATCATTTCAAGACGATAAGAGTCACATAAGCACAGTCATAGTAGGAACATTGTGAGTAATTCATACGATTTCGAAGTTTTAACTACAAAAGATGGCCATTTTTGTTTTATACGGTTGGTAATTCTTATAGGCAAAAAAATGCATTTTTTTTAGTATAGTTGTTTTAACGTCACAACAAATTTAGTTCCAATATTCCAACTTTTTTTGCCTGGTCATGTGATTTAATATTTTGCTGCAATTTCAAGCATGAAATTGCAAAAAAAAAAAAATGCAACAAAATTTAAAATTATAGAACTTAAATTGCTAATCGAAAACCTGGGAAATTTTGGAATTTGTTGCAATTTCAGAAGATTGAACTGAAATTGCAGCAAAATATTAAATCACAAAACCAAAAAGTGAAACGTTGGAACCTTGGGACTAAAACTTATATGGTGTTAAACCAGCACGACTAAAAATGCAATTTTGCCGTATTATATTTTTCTTTTTACAAATTTGCAGGGGATATATGGCCCCGGAATATCTAGTCCACGGCCAGCTAACAGAAAAGGCCGATGTCTACAGTTTTGGTATTCTTCTCTTAGAAATCGTCACCGGTCGAATGAATAACCAAAGCGAAACCGCGGACTACTCAGACAGCCTTATATCCATAGTACTTATTGTCAATAGAAATTACCATTTTACCCCTACAACATTTTCCATATATTATTATTATTTGTTTCGGCATATAATTATACGTACGAATCAGGTCTGGAGGAATTTTCAAGAAAAGAGGATCGACAAGCTACTCGACCCGAACCTAATGCAGCAAAACTACAACAATATCAATGCAAAAAACGAGATGTTGCGTGTAGTCCACGCGGCGCTCTTGTGCATGCAAGAAAACCCCTCGTTAAGGCCATCAATGTCGAAGGTTTTACAAATGCTTGTGGATAAAGAAGAATTACCGAGCCCGACTAATCCTCCTTTCATGAATGAGATAACAATGGAACTTAACGACTCAAGGGCAAAAATGGTATCTCCCCTCGAGTACAGCTATGGTGATTCTATTGCTAATATGTCCCACAGCAATTTCTATCCTAGGTGATGTAGGAAGTTCGGCTTTTTATTTATAAAAGGTACAATAGAGTTGTAGAAAAGAATATGTATAGCGAAAGGAATACTTACAGACAATATAACTATAGGCATATATGCAAACAGAATAATTATATTTATTGATAATTTATTATGCAGTTTTCTTGCTTATTAATACGGTTTATTGGAATCAAATTATGAGCGAAGCTTTTTAAAATCAAGTTTTATCGACATCATGATAAACTCCATTTCTGGACGAAATTCCATGTGCAAAAATTCTAGAACCTTCGATCATAACATATCTTGAGAATTTTATTTATCGTCATATCGTGAAACAGGGAGTATAAGCACTCTAAATGTTACAAAAAAAGCTAAACTATATTTCAGAACAAACATATCACACTTAAGACTCTTAAAAACGTTATGAAAAGAACAATAAGAACATTCTTAGAGAGTGGCCACCAAATTACCCATTAACCCTCCACAAATCTCATAATGTCTGGCCCGGGAAAAGCCCGCTTCTAAAGCTACCTTCTCCAACTCATCTCCTGCATGAACAATAAGAACATGCGCAAAATCAAGCGAAAATGAAGTTTGAAATTACCTTGAAAACTTTTAAGCATATAAATTATGAAACTTAAAGACTATACAAAATCCATATCCGGGTTCTTTCACACATCCTGCATAAAATATATTGATAATAATACACTGACAATTGCTAGTTATATATAGTAAATGCATATCTGGTAAAAGGATATGAAGGGTGTTTGCAAAACAACAATCTTTCTACATCGCGACTCCATAAATTTTTACGCATTAGAGCTAATGGAAGAAAAAAAAAAACCCGTGAGATATTCCTTGATTGAGTTCTTCAGGTACTTATAATCACTTGCTAGGCCATACCCACTAGCAACGGGCACCACTACATAGTCAATCATCCAATCCTGGTGAAATTATATATAAATATTTAGTTAGTCATTTTTTTGCGTACCTTTTGATAAAAGGGGAAAATGAAAACAAGAAAATGAAAAGTTTAAAATAAGAAAGAAACCATTAAATTTTTGCGTACCTGGACTGAGCTCGTTAACGGGTTAGTGCTTTTGTTGAAATCAAGAACAGATAGTTTCGAACCGGGTTTTAGTACCCGACTCATTTCCTCCAGGGCCTTTTTCCTATTTACCACATTTCTCAACCCATATCCAATGGTAGCAGCATCAAAATACGAGCCAGAGAAGGGTAAATCGACCGCATCTCCTCCAATCCACCTAAGTTGCATATTTATTTAAAAGTGGCATTAAATTTTATAGTTTATTCGTTTACACGAAAATGCCTTGCCTTTTTATTTTATAATATCAATCTTACTCGATGTTTTTGTAGCACGCTTTTGACCGCTTAAGCTGTCGAGATGCAGCAACCTGTAATAGCTCCTTCGAAAAATCAACAGCAAAAACCTATTGAAGCAAAAAATAGAAAATAAAAAACAGTCCATTCATTTCGACACAAAACACCTAACACGCAGAGATGATGCTTGTTAAAAAGCTTATGGCTGAGGCTATTCAAATTAAAAACAAAAATGTTGCAAAATAACGATCAAGTACCTTGCCTTTGACTCCAACTTTTTCAGACAATAGAAAGGCCAAATCCCCACTCCCACAACACACGTCCAACACAGAGTCTCCTTCTTTTGCTCTATTGAACAAAATTCAATCAACAGCCTTATATTCTAAAAATATCCAACAATTAAAAAAAATAAAAGAAACACATAAAGCTTCAATCTTTAATCACAAAATGCTCAAATGTACTTAAAACAAAAGAAAAAAAAAAAAAAGCATAAACCCCTGAACAATAACCAGTAACCACAGTGGAAACCATGGAAGCATCAAACAACAATATATACAGAAACAAACCTCAAAATGCCCAAAAAAAAAACATTGAAAGAAGCAAAACCTAACACAGAAACAAATAAGTTCCAAGTGCTTAAAATACTATACCCAGTCCAAGAAACGGCCATCCTCTTCCATACCCTGTGGCCCCCTAAACTCAACAAATCATTCAACTGCAAAATTAACCCAATAAAAAAACGAATCTTTTGTCAGAAAACAAAATTATTCAAAGAAAAACTTAGAACAAATATGAAACGTCTAGAGCTCGAGCTAAAGGGTAACATTATACGAAGTTAGAGCTGGGAAAAAGGCCGAGATACTCACGTTATCATAGACAGGGGCAATTCGGTCAAATAGGGCCTGTCTCTCAGCTGCACACCGAGCCGGTTTGAAGATGGACCGGAATTCCGGCAGCCGCTGCCGGCCGGTTGTAGACGGGAGAGTGAAGTGAAGAGTAGCCATAGCCTTTTCAGTTCTGAGCAAGTGAACGGTCTAATTTACCCTCAAGATTTTCCATTTTTTCCCCTTCTTTGATACGGGTGACTGTTTATGTATTCATCTAAAATTAGTTGGTTTTTTTAATTATAATTAATTTTAAAAAAAATTGACATGATTAGTTGTTACTGGATATATTAAAATAATATTTAAAATAAAATAATTAAAGTTGATATGATGTAAAAGTAAGAGAATAATTGGACAGATGGTTAGTTAAAATTATGTAAGTGAATGAATAATGAATTAAAGTTGATGTGATGTGTAAGAATGATTAGTTATATTATTTAATTATATTGATAATATTGGAGATAGTGAGATTAAGTTAAATTTTTATTTTTTTGGTACAATTTTTTTTGGTACAAGAGTTAAATTTGAGTTTTGATTGATTGCTTTGGAGTTAATTGATAAACAATCATCCCCTAAGTAACCTAATATTTTAGAAATACCAAGTTAGTTTTTAAATATTTTATGTACGAACCTAATATTATTGATTTTGAATAATATTATTTTTTATCCAAACCAAACTATAAAGCATGTTTTTCTGTCAAGTAAGATTCCGAAGCGTGCGATACTACCACCTAGACACGATGCATTTTGCAATAATATACAGGCCTATCCAATATTCGTATGCTAACCGACAAAGTCCGTAAAAGTGACGACTAAATTGGGCTCACTACATTGTTGGGTTTGTAAAGAAGCCCAGCCCAACTAAGCGAACAAAGAGTAAAAGGCACCTCATGCCATAAACACACATCATGCAGCATGTACGACGAACAGCATGCTACCATACATAAAAAGATTACATTCAAAATCAGTTGCATTTGTTCACGTTATTATTTAAGTCATTGAACTACTTGAAACCCATTCACAAAAAAAGTGAACATTTTTTTTTTTTTTTCAAATATTATTTGATA